GGTGTGCAATTTTTGGGAAGTTGAAACAGATATTTAATAAGAATCTTTGATTAAAGGGATAGAAAAGTAGCTGTCAAAATTTAAATGGATTAATCTTATGACGTTATACGTTTGACGTAAATATAAAACCAACTGCTGTTTAAGAAGATTCTCTGTATTCCGAAACTGTCGTACCAACATGAGGTACTCTAAAAGTCGATAAAAACCATATCGCAATTATCGGTACACTTTCTGTAACGTATATAAAATATTTCTAGATGTCGCTGAGATAAAATATTAATCGGTACAGTAGTTGAATTGTACTCTTAATTTGCAATAGGTTTTTAAAATAGCATGTATATTTAATTCTGTTTTTATTGATAGATACTATACGAACAATAGTGAAATTATGTAATGAACATATAAGTTCCTTTTTGAAAAAGATAGGACATAAAACCCTTTTGCTTAAAGTTGTACCCAAGTACTTAGGTATTTTTTTTTAGTACAGTTGCACAAGTGTTCCACGAAGTTTGTTAAAGTGTTTAGAGACAAGACAGAACCATGTGGTTAGTGTTTAGTTTGGTTATTTCAACTTTATCACGTGCAGTTGTCAAAATAAAAATTTTCTACGTTTAGTTTATACTTTAATGTGTAATTGATATATAGACTGTACAGTATTGTAACTATTTAAAAAACTAGTTGGTTGCAAATTACATGACAAAATGCAGATGAAGTTAAGTGCGCGGCGCGTATCTAAAACTATTGAAGTAATAGAGGTAGATGATTTAGTACTCACAAGAAAAGGAGGAGGTAGTATAATTGATCAACGGCCAGTTTTCTCTAATGATGGAGAGTAAGTTTTAATTCAGCATATGCAGAAATTACAGTTTTTTCCAATACTTAAGTATGAAGTATACATTTTGGTTTGAAGTATACATTAACAAAAGGTTGATAATCATGTAGAAGTGTACATTTTGTTGAATTTATCAGTAAAACTACATTTTCAATATTGCTGTTATAAAGTTTAGATAACATTATTAAAAATATAGTACTTTGGTGATTTTGCAGATTATTATATATAGTTTGGAAACATGTTATAAGAGCATATAGTACACAAACTGGAGACTTTGTAAAAGAATTAGAAGCTGCAAGTCATCGGATAGCAGGATTAATTATACATCCTGAAAATCCTAATTTGATTATTGCATGTACAGAGAATGCAGAACTAAATTTCTGGAGTTGTCAAAGTGGCATTATCACAAAAAAATTAGTATGAATATTAAGTGTATTTTTTAAAAGTATAAAAACATGTCTTTTTTCTTCAATGTTTACATTTGTTTAATAACTCTATAATATTATTCTTACAGAAATTAAAGTTTCAAGAAGAACCAAAAATAAAAACTTTTCACATTGTTAATTACAAAACTCACAAAGGAAATGAATTGAGGCAGGTGCTTATAACTTATATTTCCAAATGTAATACAAAAATTTATGTAGCTTTATTTGACTTAGATCATGGAGTTTGCACTAAGTCTATCTGTATATCGTAAGCAAAAGCACTCCTGCATGATATAGATTTACACATATTAAATCCAGCAAGGAACCTTGTTGACAAATTGTATGTACCTTTTATATAATAAAAAGTATTTAAAAAATAATAAAATTAGACATGAAATATTAGAAAATTACTATCACTTTATAATCACAGACACAAGACAGGTAACACAGGTAGGATACCAACATGCATTGCTGGACATCCAGAGGAAGAATGTGTTGCTACAGGAGATTCAACTGGTCGTGTAGTAATATGGAGGAGTTTGTTTCTAACAAGACCTTATACAGCTGTTTATCACTGGCATACACTACCTGTCACAGAAATAGCATTCAGCAAAGCAGGTACAGTACATATCTACATTAATTAAAGTTAACTTGAATTTGAACATATGCAATGATAATGTGAATCATAAAAATTGCAGGTGGTCACATGTATACAGGAGGTGGAGAATGTGTATTAGTAAAATGGGCTTTGGCAAATCCACATAATAAATCATTCCTGCCTCGGTTACCTGCTCCTATTAAACATCTTATTATAGCTCCAGATAATTTATATGTAGCTGTATCTACTTTGGATAATGGTATTAATATTTTTAAGTGTTATAATTTGACTTTAATTTTCTTTTCTAGCTTTTATTTCTGAAATTTCATACTTGTTTGAAATTATAGGCATTGTAGTTGTAAATCCACAAAGGAAATTAACATCTGTAATACAAAATTTCACATGGGGTGTGACTCTATCTTCTAAAGACTTATTTCCCGCTGGCCTTATTGTTGATCCACGTACAAGTTGTCTAGTTTTAAACAGCCGCATGGGACACGTTCAATTTTACAATACCCATACGAAAAGTTTATTATATAATGTGAGTACTTTCATGAGATATAATTCACATAAGATACATATTGCGATAAATATAGCATTTATGTAAATATTGATAAATGTTTAGATAAGTATAACAGCGCAGAATTTTTTAACTCAAGAACGTAGTATAGTTATTGTGAATACGGAAGTTACAAAGATAGCATTAAATCACGATGGTACGTGGATGGCAACTGTTGAAGAACGAAACGATAATGTGTCTTGCATAGAAGTACGGCTAAAGTTTTGGATGTTTGACACCCAACAACAATTGTAAGTATGAAATGTATGTCTTTTTATACGCAGATATTAAAGATTTATGCTATTAGGTTCATATTAAACACATCGATTGAGCTTCCTCACGAGGGTGGTGTTAATGCTTTGCATTTTCAACCCTGTATGATATTCGACGAAGGCGGAGCAATGGTAGTTACAACTGGCAGAGATAAAAAGTTCAAGTTATGGCACCTTGTAGAATCTTCATCTATGTACAGTATGTAAAATTTATGCATTTTATTCGTCTATTATATTGCAATAATCTGACACTAAGTTACAAGATTAAATCTGTTCTAGAGAAAACAAAACATTGGCAATGTCATAGTATAGCAGATTATAGAAATCTGCCTGTTACGGATGCTGGCTTCTCGATAGATGGTTCATTAGTTGGTATTGGTTTTGATTCTAGCGTAACAATGTGGACGCCCGATACCTGTACGTTTAAATGTAGTCTTACTCACAGTCAATATCAGTATCCAGTGAAGTAAGTTTTACAGATTATAATGATTCTAATTATAAAAGCAACATCGGCATTACTATTTCAATTTTGTTAGACGAATCGAGTTTGGAAAACAAGAAGCCTGCCATCTTGTTGTAGCAGCTTCCTCGCAACACATTGCGGTGTGGAACATCCTATCTCTTACTCTAGTGTGGAGTGTGCCTTTAAAAGTAGCAACTCTCACGGCAGATCCAAAATCCATATACATGGCCGTTTTTACAACCAATAATTCATGTAAGTTCATTTGTCCAGAAAGCATATCAAAGCTTATTTTTATATATATATTAATCTGCTTATTTCAGTATATATATTTACACCGCAAAAATCGACAGTCATCTATTCGAGAAGAAATGTTATCGAAACTAATAGTTCTATCTTAGGAGCTGCCTTTGTACCTCATTTACGGCAGAAACGAGATTCTTCTTATGGACAATGGCAACGGAAGTCACAGCTTTTCTTTTTAGATTCTAATCAAGTACGCATTACCAAAATTTTCGGATATTTTTATTGTATCATCCTGTATAATATTTAATGTCGTTCATAGGAATTACTAACACTGGAACCAGAGTCTGAGGTAACGGTCTTCCTTGAAACTTTGTCTACAAAGGCGTCCATGCCCATGACTGTCTTTGGCAATTTAATGGCATCCAAAACTACCACAGACAAGGAATCGACTACTCCGTTTATACATGAACAACTGGGGATATCAGGCAAAGGAATGGTGGAAGAAGTAAGTACATTTAAATATATTTTTATAATTGATCTCGTTCTGAGTAGTGTATAAAGGATTAAACAGGTAGGTGATATACACATTAGATCACCTTTGCGATAAAAAAAATAATTTTATTCTAGAATATATTCTCATTTTATAATGAGATCAGAGAGTATTTATATACACACAGTTTCTCGTACAATATAGTACAAACAATTAATCAGGACACATAGAAGTACAAATAATATCTATAACTTAATACAACATGTTTTTATTGAATTTTTTATCATAGGAAAGTGTGAGTTCTTAATCTCACGAGAAGTTTTATCTGTTTACTTATGTTTTTTCTTCTTTTAATCTGTACAATGTAGAAGATGAATGTGATAGTCTTAGAAATACAGTCTTGAAGTAAGCGACGAAATATGAAAAATTAAATTAAAATCTGTATAAACGATATTGCTCCATTTGTCAACTAAGTCCACGAGTAATTTACTAATAATCTATTGGAATATTATTGTTACATCTCGTCTCGTTTTCAAATAAGTTTCAACATGTGCAGCAGAACATTCAGAACAGCTGGTCGGTGGAACTTGAAGTAAAGTGACTTATTTGTTGTGGTCGTCCATCCGGGATTGCGATGATTTTGTATTTGTCAGTGTTTCCTTCCTAAACGGTAATTCCTACAGCGACGTACTAGATCGAATTTTCTGTAGCGTAGACAGTGCCACTGCGGGATCTGCCGCATGTTCTCGATCGCCTGCAAGTTATACATCTTAAAAAAATAATTGGCTACGTTTAATAAAACTCAAAGAACCATTTGTAAGATGCAACTAATATATAAACAAACTGAACAATTGTTTGCGATAAGAGGAGATCACAATTTAGAGCATTTTTTCTTTCGTTCAATTCAGAATTACACTATTTGCTCAATTATATTTTTTCAGAAGATGCAATTAAGAAAGTAATAATTATCATTTGATAAATTGAAATTACAATTAAAGTTAAACAAGCTTTATTCTGTTTTCAACTTATTTTTGTTTTCAATGGAAAATCACCTTATTCCTATTTTATCACAAATTTTACTGTAAATATTGATGCTTCGTATACATGTATATATTTTTTTTTTTTTTCAATTTCCTTCAAAAACCTCCTAAAATCGTGACCTCCTCTCGCGAGATTAATTACGATCAAACTATCCAAAGGCAATTTTTGCGAACGTGAACTCTGTTTACGGTACCACCTACAGTTCTGTTTGATTAGATATACCAATACAAGTGGAGAAAAGATTGATTTAATAAGAACCGCTCGCGAGCAACGTCCACTCGAGCTTGCAATATTATCGTCGTATGCGTCCCACGTGCTCGTTACAAGGAAAACACGAATTTTATTCATAGTTGTTATTCCCGATGATGTATCAGACGAACTTAAAAATGTTTCCGTGTTTATTGTGTATTTATAGAATCTCACGTATCGTTAATTTCAAATTTAATTCACAATTCAACGTGGACAGAAAAACTTTCTCTTATAACTTGAATATCGATGACCGAATTATGTCATCTCAGGCGAAATTATCGGCACACACGTGTGGTACGTGTACCCTCATATCTATTCGTTCTATTTTGTCAATGCAGACTTGCGCGACCTAACGATAACACTTTCTGATTGCCAGGGAAGCGTGATTTGTTCAATTATCGTGTCGAGTAATTATTTTTAGCAGTAACAAGAATAAACTATCCGGACAGAAGTAATTCAATGTTTATTCAATGAGAGAAATCGCTTCCTTCACAAGTTTCTGGATATTCCTAAATGACACGAGTTCGTGTATAATCATCAGACTGATTCACGTTCGCATCGTTCCTAGACTTGTCTATCCTATCGTTCTTTCTATCGTTTCTACGTGCCTAATTCACCGGGAGGAACGCAAGTTTGCGAGTCAAAGCCCCAACCAGTTGCCCACGCGTTACTTTCAGCACGTGGCTGAGTTTCATGCAAGATCCACACGAAGAAACGCTACTTCGAAACGTTCACGGGAGAAGAAATTGCGAAAATGCTTGAAATATGAGAAATGAAATATGAGGACAAGTATCACCATTCTTAATTAACGAGTTTAAGTAATCGAGGAGGAGAAATGAAGAAATGACTCGTAGATGATTTTCACTATAAACTTTCACTATTTCACCAGAAAGATGAAGTTCGAAGAAAGGTACTTACTATCTCTGGGTTGCTGGCAGGATACGCGGACGCAGCAACCACTAAGAAGAGGACAGCTATCAGGATGCACGACACAAAACTCCACGCTGTTAACTTCATGCCCGAAATTGTCGTTGGATGCTTCCTCTTTCACAAGAAGATTCACTTCAAGAACAGCAGTAACCAACTTGCTTCTTCAGTGAAATGTTTGAGAAATTCTGCCAATCACAAACGTTCCAGGGATTACTTCAATGAGTATCAGAAAAGAATTGCAAGTTGCCTTTACAAGGATTTCAAGATTGGCTTCTATACAAATTTACCTTTTTCTGTTATTTTATTCGGAAACGTACTGAAGAAAACAGACACTGTTCACCAGAGGATGTCTTCCAAAAGAAGAATGTAAAAATATAACTTGTTGCTCGATGAAGAGTGACGAATCGATGAAGAGTCACGGGGGAAGAGTTTCTTGGCTGAGCGTTCAACGTAGGACTGACTTTGGGAAGTGGCCTCGCCATGATTTAATATAGGAGCTGCTTCACCGCACTCCCACCCTCTCACGGCGTTCCAGTTGTCCCTCTGACCTAGGGCATTGGCTTCGGCAGAAAAACCTTCGACACGCGCCGTTCAAGGAATCGTCTCGACCTACCCGGAAATCATTTGATAATTCTTTGGAAAATCGACGAAACATCCAACGTCTAGCTCTCTCGTTCATATGAAAAACTCTAGAGAGATTTCTTTAAGGAAAACCGTCGGAGTCGGAGCATGCATATCGGTATCTTTTTTACGGAAAAGAAAAAAGAGAATCGGTGTTTTGTTTGGTTGCTGATTTGTTTGCTTCTCTTTCAGGGTGATAAGGGTTTCGTGATTGTTCGACAGACTAAGACTAGAAGTGGTTTCATAAATAGACTGTTTGATATCACGGTCACACGCGAGCATTCTCGAGAACAATGGTGATAGTGTCCCGGGGAGGGACGTCCACGTGTGTCGCTGCGAAATTTCGCTGCTTTAAGGCCAATGCAAAATCAATAGGAGTTTCCCTTATCATGAGCAACGAGCCGGTGCAACAAGTAGACCGGAGAGAGAGCTATGTCTTTAAACTGTCCCGTGCGCTCCTCCATGTCTGTCTGGTGGTCATTTGAATGAACGCGATAATATCAGCTTGTCTAAAAGTTAAATCTTGTCCCATTTGGAGACCGCCTTTAGCGTCTGGAGGCTAAGCAAATTAACGATCATCACGAACAGCTATCCTTAAGGCCGCGTGATTGCTAATGATGGCATTACGAAGAAGGCGGCATGCGTTGGATTAATTAATTTTAAAGGATCATCTATAAATACTTTGCCTTTGGCATTTCTTAAGTATTTATTTGGTGCGTTAGAAGTAGAGGATTTTCTTTTTGTGATAAATGGAAAAGGATTTGACTGATTTTTTGACGTATACACATGCAGAATCCATATGTGATATAAATATTGGAAGTAGGATTTACATTTATGACATATTTTTTTATTCAAAATCCAGACAGTGTGTCACAAGATTTTTTTAACAATATTTTTAAACATCTGTAGAAGTGTCCTGAAACATATATTGGGGCAGGCATTTGCAACTTTAAAGGTGTCTTAGATGACGTCATGAAAGTGGACGTAAAACGTCGTAGATGGTAATTAATTACATACGTCTACGTCATTACTTACAGTAAACGGATATCCGCTAACTCTCTGCTTTCGTTCTTACTCTACAAATTGCGTCAGTTCTGTGGAATCGCAGAGACTTAATTGTTTACCAGCCACCTCGTCACCGTTCCTTTTTACGTTTCATATTGTCCCAGAGACATATAGCTAATTATTAAGTATTTCTTCCTTAATATCTTCCTAAATTGAGGTATACTTTCATATATACCTATAGATGTATATTTTTATACCATATTAATTCAACCATTTCGTATTACTTTTCTTCAAATTCTACGCTCTTCAAACATTCTCCATGTATTGATTCACTTCATTATCCATTCCAGTTTATCAACAATTTATTTTGTAATCCACTGTTACCTTCCTCTCAATATCCCTGAGTATAACAACACACAGACACTCACACATACACGCGCACATTTTCTCTGGGAACAGTGATAGATCGCTTGCGAAGCGGAGAGCTTCCGTCTTAATTAAGTTTTCGATACTTCCAAGAGATTAGCGAGTAGGAACTCAAAGTTCCCAACGGGCAACGAAGAAGAATCAGAACTTTCGACAGTACGTTCCTTTATTCACTCTCGTTACGGTGTACAATGGAGAACGGTGGTTTTCAACGTCGCTCCGGAATTGTTTGCAAATGTTCCGGTAAAACCAGGTCAGGACGAACCTGTTGGGAAGCTAGGAACAAAGTCTTATCTCCCGCGGGAGCTGTCCTGATTGTTACGTTACCTATTAATAAAATCGTATTCTCTCTATGTGTAGGTCTGTATCGGGACGAACGTTGTATCTAATCTTGTTAGATTGTTTTAAACTAGTGGATGCTCTCTTGTAAACTTGAACGCGCAATACTATTATTTCTCTGTGAATCGATCTTTCTTTGATTGTATTTATTACCTTATATATATATTTAACCGAACATTAACTTGAAGAATACAATACACCAAGAGATTTTTTTCCAATGTTTTCACTTGAAACATAAAGGAAACAATTTTTACAATTCTAATGTTAATAAAGTTAGTAAAAGAAAAAAGAAAACAAATATTTTTACTATATGGTGTACAGTATACCCCCATCAAAAATTGATGTTAGCATTCTAGGATTGAAATAATACCACTATTAACTTATATTTTTAATGTAAGAGACATTAATCTGTATTCTGTTATTGTATTTCTTTTCTTTTTTTATGTAAACGAGTATTTTTGAAACTTTTAAAGTTTATTTTAAAAAAGAATACTTTTTTGAGGTACTTTAAAGAGTATCTTAATGACAATTGATTGAATGAACATCTAAGGAGCACTCAGTGAGTATATTTAGATATTTCCCAGTAATATTGCTTGTTTTCTGCTTTGATGAAACATGCGTCTTTTCTGGCGAATCACTGGTGAAAACTAGTGTGTACCGAGAAGAATATTCGTGTAGGTTGTAAGAGACGCGTCAACCTAGATCTGAAGTAGAAGATTACAGGAATTGCAGAAATTTTCGTTCGGGGGTGTGCCTGCGTCAGCCTTAAAACTAATTAACTAATCGGACGTCGCGAGCGTCATAAATGTGACTGAAGTAAACGCGCGTCAAATATCGCGTGCATTTTTTTTCCAAGTATAACTCCTCACTTACCATATTCTTACTAATTTTTTATCATCCTTAAGTCATGGTTCTATTTTTTTTTCTTTATGACACTCTTAGAAATATTTTATTTATCTTTCAGCTCCTCAGTGTCTCATCTCACACTTTGCCACCTATGAAGATGCTCTGTGCATCTTTTATTACATCTTTACTGACTACATCTGTATCTAAAAGTCAATCAACAGATGACAAGAACGAAAGGTAATTTAATGTGAACATTAAAAGGTCATCAGATGCAAATTAGTGTTTCGAACTTTTTAAAAATATCTCTAAAGTATAAATTTGTTTTAAACAAACTGCAATGCTAACGCTAATTTTATTTATTTATTTATTCCTTTTTTCTTTTTTCTTTTTAGAGATGATCCTATTACGATTGATGAGGAATCAGGTGACGAGAGCGAGGAAGAACTATCAGGACCAAGAAAACGCGAAAATCCACCTATAATTGAAAACGACGATACAGACGAAAAGAAAGTACAACTTGTTGACCACAATTGGTCTTTTCTGTCGACGATACTACCAGATCAAGAAAACTCTGAACATTCTGAACGTTGATAAATAAAAAAATAGATAGACACCAATATTTTTTTTAATTGTGCCTCATTTTAGGATATTAAAAATCAAATTCCGTTTGTTTACATTATTCTCATTATCAATAAATTCATTATTTATAAATTAGTTGAAGCAAAAAATCAAATTTTTAATGAATTGATTAAATGAATACAGCCAGATACGAGGAGACACGTACATTTATTTCTAATACGTGTTATTAGACAATACGTGTTACTATTACATGTTACTTGACAAATACAATGTCTGCGTTCATGTATATTTATCTATATAAATATTGTACATAAACCGAAATGTCGTGTTACAATGAACTTCTGTTCAAAACTTGTGCTAAGGTGCGAGTGAAAAAATTTATCACTAGTCTCAAGAAACTTTTTTACTGTTATGTCGGTTTCGGTAGTTTATCCAATCGAAAACTAAGCTCGACCAATTCAGTAATAATCTCTGTTAATCGCTTACAATACATTGGGTCAGTTTTCATAGCATTAAGTACGGGCTCGTTTCTATCCTTAAACTCGAACTCATAATAACTGTTAGGCTCGTTCAGAATTTTCGCGCTTACTTCCTCGTCCATCAACACAGTTTGAAAATATATAACCGCAGTGATGACAGCAGCTAATCTCTGTTCCTCTATTCCTTGGATCAATTCAGACCAAGGTGGAACTTCCACACAGATTGATTTTGTCGAGTTCAGAATCTTACACAGCACACTATAGTAATGCTTCAACATAGTCTCTTCCCAGGTTACTCTAAAATCACGGTCAGCGCAGAGATAGAGGAACTGTATCACGTCATGCGCCAGAGGAGAGTACCTCAACAATTGAAAATCTACCAACAAACACTTTAGAGGTAGAGTATTACTGAACATCATATTATTTCCCCATAAATCTCCATGACTAACTACGTTCCTTTTTGTAGATGACGTCTTCATGGCTGGAAACACTTCTTCACATGCTTTTGGTATTAAACTAGCATCAAGACCAAGATGTTCAGCGATAGCAACTGCTGCATTCACGCCGACATTGAACCACGTTCTAGTTTTCCCAGTTTCAGAGAAAGCATTCTCCATGAAGACATGTGGATACATCTTCTTCAAGGACTTTCCAAGTCGTGCTTCCGCCATCAAAGAGGACGCGTGTAAGCTGGCTAAAGTTGTCAAAGCAGAAACAATGAGTTCCTTATCGAACAACTTGTTCCTCAATGAATAACCCTTTGCACCCAAGTCTTCAAACACAAGCATGTTCTCTTTCACCAAGTAACAGGTCGCCGTCCACCGTTCATGTTTGTACTCGTGGTAAAATTGCGGAACTATGTCACGATAGAAGATTCTCTCCTTCAGAAAGACACATTTGTCAAGTACGTATTCCGCTTGAGTTGGTACATCGTACGGTACAACTTTAACGAAGAAGGACAACAATTCCACTCCATTTGCGGATTTTACTTCCACGCAGAGCCTCTGATGGGACCCTAGAAATCCAAGCTTCGCGTCTGAATAGGATTCCAGATAGAACTTTTGAACATCTGCTTCAACGCCTGTCGCATCTTTCACTAAAGCTCGCACCTCTTGAAGGGTCAGCAAATTGTGATAAGCATTCACAGCAGAGCACGGTTTCTTGTCGTTCAAACGTTCCGGCGCAAGTCGAACCTCTAGCTCTGATTTGGACATGGTTCAGGAAGTAAATATATCATAACGTGCGATACTCTCTTTATATGAGGAGTCAAGTACAGCGTGATTTTCAGTTGTATCTATAATATGTTTACAAATCGACTACTCCTGCTTCCTCTCGCATATGCATATTTACCGACAAACAGCTCTACGATAAAACGGCAACGGAACACAAAGAATCGCACACCACGCCGTTAGAATGGTGTTACGATCGAACACGTGCAAAAAATCGTAAAGTTTACTCTGCTCTTTCATTGTAGCAAAGAAAGTGTCCAAAGCTCATATAATAGCTATTTATAACGAAGAAAAATAATAGCTGTAAGACGGGCATAAATCAATTCCTATGTACGTGTCTTAATACTGTGATCCGAGAAAATATGATTTCACACTATTTTATCTCGACGAATGAACAACCAATAAGGTATCTCGAAGATGCTTAAGATACTGGCACCCATAAAAAGTCCAACTGCGCTTCCTATTGAAACTAAAAATAATAAGATTCGTTTGTAAGAGAAACAAGATGAAACATTACAGCATCGTGTTATGCTTCGACAAATTTCGAGAGCACATAAAGACACCAAAAATATTAAAAGCGCTCTGCACAAACATAAGCTTAGAAATGTTGTTTTCATAATACAGCAAATTACTTCTCTGCTTCAGTTTACATTCGATATCAGAGGTGAAAATTTTCCTGCGAGATAATCACAAGAATTCAAATGTTGAACAATTGATACTGGTTAAAAATGAGGTGTAATGAGTAATTCTGCAGACTATTTGAAGTTGTAAATTGTAAAATCTGTAAATATCTTTACTTCAAGCAAACAAACATTTTATTTTTGTTTCATATCAAAGAATAATCTTAATAATTTTAATATATTGTTTGATTAACGTAGTAGAATCTTTCTTTTACTTTATTAACAATACTAGATTTTTCTATTGTTTATGAACTTAGCTTGTATGATTATGTCTATATAGTATCTAACCAGGTGTCTTTACATGTTTTCCTAATTTCTTTACTAATGCCGGAAGCATAACTCGTTTAATAATGAAAAGAATTACAAAAGAAGTATCTTTGTTTGTTTCTATACTTTCATAGAATAACTATGTTTAATTCAAACATGTTTCGACTAAAGACTTTTACCTACAACGTCCAACAGATCATTCGCCACGTATCGACGGTACCTCATCGTTGGATGTGAAAGCAAAGTAAAATGAAGTCGAGCGTATGTGCTATTAGGAGCATCATACTCAGAAGGCTCCAATCGGTTTCTACAATATAAAATACAAGGTGCTCAGATTCTGAAAGCTTCTCTTATTTTATTATTCTTTAATACTTCAATTCTTATTCAACCCCACACATGTTTTCAAGTAGATTTATTTACAAATTAAGGTGAACCACTCTGTTTCATGCAAAAGCTCAAGTAAAAGCGTAATTTTCATAAGATCCGTACGCGATCACGCCAGTTCCCTCGCAATTCGGAAAGCAGTATTCATCTTTGAGCGCCTGCGACGTGATATTCGTCTTACTGGCAATTATGCACAGTGTCTCGGTGGCATTGCAAACTCTCGCCCCTCGTGGTACGAAATAATAAAAATGCACACAGCCGCATAACTTTATCATCTGCTCGATAATTACCTACATATACCGGATCACGTTTAATTCATTAGCGTTACAAGATTATAAATTAGAGTTTCTCCGACAATGAGATGGATTTATATATTCCAAAGAGCAATCGTATATTCATGATAGAACGGAAATGTTGACGTACTTGGAGATAGCATGAGTCAATACTGTAAATGTCAAATAAATCGTTCCTTTGCGCTTCGTAGTAAAAATAGCAGTTCCTATATTTGATCGCGACATGTTTCACGCGATCCTCGTTAAACGTGTCCTCCATTGTAAACTCGACTCGCGTCGTTCTACCAGCTTTTATACGTGTGTCGTCCTTTTCCACGTTACTGAAAATCGGTAGCTGAAGATTGTTCATGATGTGCACCTAAAATCGTATAATGTTTATATAGTCTTTGTTTTCTTATTTAATAAAGCAGTTGGCATAGTAAAATGTTTGTGTATTAATAATGTAACTGTGTTGGTAATAATGTTCTGTAGCATTTAATTTAATTCCATGAAAATTTTAATACTCAGAATATTAAATAATATGTAATATTCTTATTCCTGAGTATGTTTAACAAATATTAAATTCTAGATTCTCATATTAACAGAAATTTTACAGTCGCTAATTGATCATCCTAAATATATCACGAGCTGCTTGATCCTTATCACTTTGTGCTTCTTCAAAAATTTTTAATGATTCACAAACATCATTACAATATGTGTGTAAGTGGCTTATATGGTAATATCAACGCATTATCGGACAACTGCTAAAGCTCATTGACAAAACCGCGCAAAGCATTGTCGGAAGGGAGGAAAGCCTCAGACAATATGAATTTAGATCCTCGTTGTGTTTATTTGTTTGCTTTTCTTTTTAAAGAGTTCTTTATTATATGCGTCGCTGTATTTCTTTTGGGGTAGCTGTAATCTCTCGATCAATGCTTTCTTTTTTGGGACACCCCGTATTGTTTTCAAAACACCAACTCCATCTAGTTAATTACTAGCTAAAATTATCGAGGCAAAGTAAACTTTATCGAATTATCGACTAGTAATAATGTCATTATTGCAAGAATAAATACGAACTGTAAATCCAGCGAAAAGATATTTCTTTATTTTTGTATCCAAGTGAAGATCAATGATCAGATCGCCGTATTGTACGGTGCGATTCACGAAGAAACGCACGTTAGGCTCGCCTTGTTTGTTCTTTAAATGGAACGTGTTCATAGCGATACAATAACCGACACCAGTTTTCTTCAATTCCTGGAATTCAGCGCAGCAATTGAACTTCATCTCGTTCCACGTGCATTCCGTCAACAAATCAGTGCAAGGAACGCGCATCTGCGATAAATAAACGGAGCGTTATATATTTGCAATACTTCAATTTCCTTGTTGCTCGATAAGCGTGATGTATTTAACTAAACGGAAAAATATTCAGTGGAAAATTGTACGTGAAAATAATTTATGGACGTATTTCACGAGAAAGTGAAATTACAATTCTTCACCTTTTCGTATAGAGACAGGAGATCTTCCGAGGATGACTGAAGAAACTTAGCGTTGGTGAAATTTGTGAACAATCCCGGATTCCTGAGAAAAATTGACTTGTAATGATCGATAATATATCGATAATATCGATTAATATTATCGACGCAGTCAGTGATGTTTATTTTGTTTTCACTTATTTTTATACCTTTAAGCATTTCGTAATTCAACACACCTTTTGAAATATTTTCCGATCGCCGAATTGGAGGTAATGCAAAAAATAATTGTAGGAAATGGTGCCTCCCAATCGAGATACGTTGTGTCGGTGGTTAAAGCAACACGATACTCAATATAACTCTGCACCACGTTATTAATCATATTTGCACAACCGTACCAAGATAATGCACAAAAAAGCAACCAAAACAATCTATAAATTAATTGACGAATCTTTCTTATTAAAGATGTGACAAAAAGTATAAAATTCCTACGT